GTACATACAGGTTAATTATTATTTTATTATATTAGTAAAATAATATTGGTAGAGACATGGACTAATTGTCAAATCATAAACATTAGCTATGTGATATAAATAATTGAAATTATTATTTGGTTTTGGATTAGATGTAGTATTCTTTTAATTAAAATTTGTTGTTTAATTAAATTATAGTCTATGATGGAATTAAGGTTGGAGGAGTCTCTTTTTAAAATAAATATATATTGATGGATTGGTTTATGTATGATTATTAATTAATCATTGGTTAATGAATTTGACAATTTAAAGAACTTATTCATTGTACTTATAAGTATTTATATATGTGTGTATCGTCGTACATTAAATTTGAAACTTTATTAGGGTTGGTTTTAGTATAGATGATTTGTTTATTGGTTTTTAGAGGGTTGGTAGAAAGAACTTGCTCGTGGGTTTGACCCACTTTATTTTTATCTTTCAGGTTACTAGAGGTCCAAGTCTCAAGGTTAAGAATCCGCAACTCAAGGACTAATCTATTCTTTTGGTTTATTTCAATGTAGGATATTATTTCTTTATTTGACATTACTATTTATTTCTAAAATTCTGGATAGTGACTTTTAGTTAAAGAGTCTTTAAGATACGGGATTTTCGAGTTATAACTATTGGAGAATTATTAGTAGATTTATTATTTATTAGTTTTTCTTCAGCATATTATTTATTCTTTATTTTGTTTTGTAATCTGTCCTTGTTTAAATACTTTAATTGTTTTGATTTTCCCTGATGTTGTGCGCGGATTTGATTAACCTCTGTTCCAAAATTAGGGGGTATCACAATTTAGGACTCTTAACAGAGGAGAATGAAGCGATTAAAAGTCGCTAGAGACGAAGAAGAAGGAGAGCAGTAGGCCGAGAGTCGACTCCCTTAGAAAAGGAACCAGCTTCCTTTTGATTTTTTACGGCTCTTAGGGCGAGAGTCGGCTCCTTTTTTAGGGAGTCGGCTCCCTTGCTGGGAAAGCTAGCTGGATGTGTTTTTGAGTTTAAATTTTTTATACGGGGGTTTTCGAAGCTATCTAAATTGAATTTGATGATTTAAATGGACTTGATAAACTCCCTAAATGCATAATATACATTAATATGCTTAAGATTGAAGACATAATAGAATTTGATTAACTTATGAGTTGATTAATTCACAGAATGCATAACATACAATAATATGCAATGATATGGAGATGTATGCAATTTAATTGAGATTTAAGTTAATTACTTGTTTTGTAAGTTAATTACATGCTACTTAAAATTGTATATTATTTAATTAAATGTAATGGATATTTGTATGATTATTATCATATTTATTTCTGGATTCTTTGATGTATATACATACTTATATCATTTGTTGGATTGGGAATTGTTATCAGGATATGGTTTCGGATTTATACACCACTATCAGGATATGGGGGCATACTATGGATGAGTTGGCTAATTTGTTTGATCTCATTCTTCGTGTCAGGTCACGAATCCATGTGGATGACATGCCATTGAAAGACTATAGAGGATAGTTTATTTTTATTATTTTGGATTTGTATATATTTTATGGATGAGCTGGATAATAAGTCTAGTCTCATACTTTGTGTCAGGTCACGGATTCATTTGTAGTTGACATGCTATTGAAAGACTATGACGGATAGGATGTTTTATGTTTTGGATAAGATAAGGATATATATATATGGATATGTGCCATGATATGCGCTTGAGTTCTCAGAATCGGTTGTTAAGGAGTGTATATTGCCTTGGGGATGCATAACTGGATATAGTGGAATACTGAATACCCTGATAGATTGATGGTATTCATGACTACCAACGGGTTTTGCATTTTGCCTACTATCCAATGGAGTCTGCCCTATAGTCTAGTGAGAGTCCTTTAGTGTGTATCTATACGTATACGGACTATGTAGCTATTGCATAAGTATACTAGGATATATTTGTTCCTTAGGTCTCCATGAGATGTAGTAGAAAGAACTTATTTGTGGGCCTGACCTACTATTTATTTTTCAGGTCTATAATAGTACCAGGTGTAGATTTTGTTCATGCAGAACAGAGACTAGTCATCATCATTCTTCTAGTTATCTACATAGGATTTTGATTTATATTTTCAGTGTTCAGATGTAGACAATTATTACTGTTATTTATTCCAGTTTGGAATTTTTTAGTGGTCCACATAGTATGAATTCCCGAGTTGTATTCTATAGGATTATTGGCATCAGAGAATATTATTATTTAAAAAAGTATGATTGAGAATTTAATTTTTAATTTAGTTTTCATTTTAGCATTTTATTTATTCTTTTATATTCTGTGTTCATTTATTGCCATATTGTTTATGATATTCCCGGATCTTCGGGCGTGGGCCTGACCAACCCACATTTAGAAATTCAGGGGTATCACAAAAATTTATTCCAATGCAATTATAAATACAATATAATAATCATATAAGGTATACATTTTTTATATGGTATACATTTTAAGTGTTGGTCCCACCTTTGAATTAAGGTTTGCCGTATGTAATGTCAAAAAGATTTTCTCAAGTCCTTTTCAGGGAATTATCCTTGATATTAATGTGTTCAGTACTTTACAATGTCACACAGGGGTAGTATAGTTATTGCACATTCATGAGATAACTTTTCATACAGTTTAAGGAAGGTACATTGTGTTGACAATACATTTAACAGACACAATAGTGGATTATTCCTGGTTTTGCATATGTTATATTGTCACATAAGATTTCAAGGGCAAAAAGGTCTTTTAACATATGTATCCTATTATTTTACACTTGCTCATGAAGCTATATTGTAATGTATAGCTAAGAAATCCAATGCCTTTACATATACACAACTTTTGCAATAGATTCCAGGATATATTGACAAATGTCCACTTTAGGGGTATTTTGGTCATTGCAAATGATGAACACTTCTGTGGCATGTGTCCTGTAGTCCCAGTCTGAGAAACTAAAGCCTGTTATGCATTTTTTTAGTGATTAAATTTGATATATATTGCTGATCTATACACATATACAAGCTGTCAAATAGTATGCTCACTAGAGGACAAATTTGCAACGGTGGTAGGGACATTATAACCTCCCGAATCCAAGGATCCGAATCGCGAACCGGGTTCATGCTGAGCCCGAAGACTCTCAAGGGAAAAATGGTCATTACGCACCTTACTAAGTGTTAGGAGTCATAATGAAGTCATACTAGTCGTTTCTAATCACATCGGTTCATGAAAACGATATAATTCCAATTTCAGTTTCACGCCAGACCTCAAGGGTTTAGAAGGGTAAAATGGTCATTTTGATTCATAATTATGAAGCGAGATTGGTACTAATGGAAATAGGATTCAAAATCCTTCAATTTGGACTCGAGAATGATCTAATTCGAGTTAGAAATGAAGATGATATGTTTAATCAAAGTTTGGTCATCGACTAAGGGTATTGGTACTCTTTGTTGATCGATCGCATCCCAAATGCAATTGATCGCAAAAGTTGTGATAGGTCAAAATTTCGCAGTGCCCAAAAACATCTCTCTGGAGATGGATAGTAACCTATCTGCGATCGATCGCAACCCAACACTTAAAAAGAAAAACAAGCAACAACTCCGAGATTTGGCCCTCTGTCGATCAATTGCAACCTAAGGTGCGATTGATCATAAATCCCCAAAAATTAATATTTTCCTCCCCAAATGCTATGGTTAATTCCTATACCTCTATTTTGATATGATACATACATCTCAAAATCTATCCCAAAGTAATTAAGCCTGCAAATGAATCGAGTTGTTTATGAAAATTATATGATCTAGGGTTAGGGAACACAAGACGTCCCAAAATCAGAACTATGAAGCTATCAATAAATAATTCAAGCATATACCCACAATCAATCGACACCAAACCAGAGGTTTTGAAAATTATAAGAATTTAGGGTTAGGGAACACAAGACGTCCCATTTTGACGAGTTAAGGTTCTGAGTTGGGAGGGAAAGAGCAAAATGAAAATGGTAAATTTGAGAGAGTATTATACGTGGAACATAACATTTCAGTATGCCGTAACAAATTTTTACCCAAACAACGTCATCCCCACTTATTCGACGTGGCACTGCGAGGGCCATGGGTTTCAAACCAGCTGGAACAGCATGCTCTTCCACACGTGAAGATTTCCTTCCATATATTTCTCTGTTCTTTGTAGTCAAGGTTAAACAAAAATGGCATATTCATCCAGCTCTGCAAATCAGACCCAAATAAAATAAGACCCAAATAAAATAAAATAAAAAATAAAGAAGAAAAAGTGTACTGTTATCGTAGATTGAGAACACCCTTGAAGACCACTTATGCAGAGAAGAGCCTTGGTGCAAGGTTCTATGGGTGTGCCAGCTATATGACAAACTCTTGTGATTTTCTTATGTGGGAAGATGATGAAGTTACCGATTACTACAAAAAAATTATTTTTGATCTTATATCAGAAGTTAGGAAGCAGTTAAGAGTCGGAGGAAATAAAGTTTAACATATTGTAAGAGAAAATGTGAAGGATCTGAACATGCATGGTATAAAAAATGCAGAGGCAACTATAGGGGAAATCAAACAATCACAAATGCAACTGTGTGCTTGTCTATTCGGTTTTTTGCCCTTTTGATTGATGTTGTCATTTTGAAAGTTGTGCTATGGGGTCAAAAATATTATTATGTGTGAAATATCAGGATGTTTTGTATTTGAATGTGATCAGTCGAATTCGTAGAATATGATCAGTTACTTTTTTGTATTTGTATTTTGCATGTGATCGCTATCTTCTTCTTTTTTTCATTTGTAATGGACAATACATTTCAAAGACAACCGTATATATAACCATCCACAAAACCAGGCAATAAACATGTACAAAAGACACCATTTAACTTTATGATAAACTACGCAATAATCCTGTATAAATGAAACCAACCATGCAATAACCCTGTACAAATGACACCAATCAAATGACAAATTCATTAATTACAAAGAAAATTTAATCGAAGCTCATTGTTTTACAAAAATGCAAGCTCATTGCCTCTACAGTCGACCTGTGAGCTTGCAAAATGGACTACTTAAACAGTTAAACCTAGCCACTTCAACCTTTTTTGCTTTATAGCTATATCCTTGCTTCGCTGGGGCTTCTCCTACTTTTGTTGCTGCCACTACTTTTGGCTTCCTAATTTAGTTGCTGCCGTTACTTTTGTTATTGGTTTCTTCAGTCCGGACATGACTTTTGCAATGGGTTTCTCATAAGCTCTACCCATGTAGTCCAAGTCAAGCTGATCGTCTCGGCATTCATGACTGCAAAATGCTCGCAGGTACCTGCAATATTAATTTTATGTGTTATCATTATAATTTATATCAAATTTGCACTAATGATAAACCCCAAAACATTCAACTTAATGAAAAGAAAAATGCAACAAGTAACAATCCTCTTCCTTTGATGCATATTATATTAATGTAGTGTATATATAATACCATTTTATAGATTAAGAGCTAAGAGACAGAAAAATTTGCCACCAATAAAATAAATATAAAACCTATATAGGAAAAGTAGCTTAAATTGCTAGAGAAACTTGGGAGTATGGTGAGACTATGACTATATTAGAGAAAGAATTTGTGAATTTAATAAATAGTTGGACTGGTAATATCATGTGTGTGAAAGCATTAAATATGGTATACAAAAGAAGAAAAATAAATATAGATCGGAAACAAATTAAGAAAGCTAATTTTAAAATTATATTCAAATAATGTTGAAGGAAATGAACTGATTTAAGAGAGATCACTAATTATAACAAAAATATATAGACGCATTAAATTAATTTTTTGCCCCCCGAAGTTTTAACTTGTGTATATACTAATCTATATATATATATATGATTTAAGAGAGATCACTAATTATAACAAAAATATACAGACGCATTAAATTAATTTTTTGCCTCCCGAAGTCTTAACTTGTGTGTGTATATATATATATATATATATATAAAAGTAATATAGAGAGGTAGAGAATAAAGAGAGCTTAGCTGTGGGAATTAAATTAATAAGCAAAAAATAATACAGTAAGAAACTTACCCATACATGAATACATCGTTGTGAGGTTTGAATTTCTTCTTGCATCTAAAACAAGCTTGAAGAAACATCCGGTATCCTTCATCCACTTTATCCTTCTTCTTCGTCTCCTTCTCCCGAACAGGTGATTCAATTGTAAAGATCCACGGGCGAGTCTCTGGCGCCGCCACAGGCACAGCAGGTGGCACCACCGTCTTTGAGACCGCCTTGACCGGTGGCTTACTATCAAGTACTACTGCCGCTGCTTTGGAAGAAGAGGCTTTAGTTTGAGTAGTAGTTTTCTTTGAACGGAGAGGCATCGGCGAGTACTCAATTGGACTGACAATTTCTCCGACGCTAGATGACCGATTCCACGTCATTACTCTTGGAGGGTTAGATTTAGGGTTGGTGTTGGAGAAGGAGAAGGAGAAGGAGAAGGATGTGTATCATATATATATATATATACATATATATATATACATATAAACACACTATGATCAGTCTACAACTAGGAGTACATCTTAAAATCCGTCTACAACTAGGAGTCTTGAAAGAGAGTTTTGAAGAGCTTCCACGAAGACGGTTCGCGCGTGATCCCACCTCCACTCTAATCTCAAAGAATTAAATACTCGTTATAAAATTTTGACAGCTGTCCCAACTCCCCTTACACTTTACCCTTTTCTTTTTTTAATAGTCTTTTTATTATTTTCCTACGTGAGGGTAGGTGATAATTAGTGTGCATCGTGTCAATTCAAAGGCATTATTTTACGTTATTCATTTAATCTTGACCCGGTTAATAATTGTATCATAAACTCTCAACACTAATTCGACCTATTTATTAAATAAATTATAAGTGTAATTCGTTTAATACCTATTTACAAAAAATATATATATATATATATATATTATCTTAATTATTAATAATACTCAATAAAATAATACATACTAAGAAAATATAAGTTTTAATGAACCAAATTATTAAATAGTTTTTAGTTTATAAAAGAATAAATTATAAAACATAAGTTTATACAATAATTTTAGAATTTTAATAGAAATTTATTTATGACACATATAGTTAAACGTGTATAAATATGTTATACGAATTAAACTCCTTAACTCAAACATTACAGGATTAACTAAACGGGTAAATCGTATTAATCCGTTTACGACTCGAACCCGTTTAAAGTCAACCCAAATTCGTTTAACTCGCGTCTTATTAACGAGTCGGGTCAATTAACTTTTTCTCAACTGGCCTGACTTTTTTTATTGTGTGTTATCCAACAACGTATAAAAACATATACCCAACAATACCCTAACATGAAAGCACTACAAACTGAAATCACAATGACTTTGCAAAAAAAAAAAACTGAAATCACAATAAATTGAAATGCAAAACAGAAAGCGTAAACAATCAGATTTACAAACATAATAATAAGAAATTGACAAACCAACGATGATTAATATGATTTACCTGATATATAGCTGCCAAGACAGAGAGACGAGTGGAGCTGAGTTGCAAAATTGAGACTAAAAAATTGCACATCATCAATGGTGAGAGATGGGAGATAATTTTAGTGAAAAAAAAAAAAAAAAATTGACAGAAAATTATGGTAAGGATTTTAGAATTGAAGAGGTGGTGGACAAAGAAGGTGGTGTAGCCATGGCGGAGTCAGCCTTGACAGGGGGTTATTGTCCCGTGGCCATGCTGACCTATTAGTTTTTATTACATTTTATCATTAGTTTTTATTACATTTTATTTATATAATACTAAGTTTGGGTAAATTTGATCCGAATAGAGCATTTGACATTTATTATAATAACTTTCTCTGAAGTTTGGTGCATGTGCGCACAATGGCTCCCTCACGTTGTATGTCTGTCAAAACCGTTAATAAAAATTCATAAAATAACAAAGTTAACCTTATTATGTAACTCTTTTTGTTGAGCTTCCACGAAAACGGTTAACGATCCCACCTCCACTCTAATTAAATATATTCATTAGAAAATTTTGACAATTGTCCCACTCAAACGCCCCATAGTCTTTTATTATTGGTTCAAGTGCAAAAAAACTCACCACACATATCTTACATTAAATAGCACGCTTTGGCCCTTCTCAACCTCTCTCTGCTAGGGTTTTACAGGACCGAGCGCTAACAACTTTCATTAACGGCTAATTAGCCGTTAATTGCAATTATTAGATTGAATCGTTATTCCTTTCTTTGTTTGGGCCTTGTTTGGGCTATTTGGGCTTGTCTCCCTTTCCTTGGGCTGTTTTCTCTCCTGTATAAAGTTCACACAGCTTTGGAGTGGCAATTCAGGCCCTGTTTGGCTGGGCTTCCTGTAGCCTCAAAACGGGCTTCCAAGCCCAAAAAATCCTTCGTCAATAATAAAGAGCGCTTGGTAGATTTTTGAAAACGAACTTTTAAAAAATCTCAGTGGTTTAGAAGTCCGATTGACTAAAACCAATAAAACATGCTTCTTAATTGACTTCCAGTAAGTTATACACTTTTTTAAGTAATAAATATAAAATTCCTATATTGTCCATTATTTAACCTATTTCCATTTCTAAATTTCATTGCAAACTTTTATGTTTCTATTTTTGTATCATCTTTTTCCTTTGTTCTCTACCCAAAAAATAAAATAAAAAATAATACTAAGCAAAATTTCACAGAATTTTATTGAAAAAAAATATTGTTGAAAAACTATTCAATAAAGGAAGAACAAAAATATTGAGGAGTTGCAGGAAAAAATACTATTGAATCCTATTTGACTTCAAAGTCGGAAGAGTTCCAAGATTTATGAACTCTCTCATCCGAAATTCAATCATATGTAGAATTCTAAATAACTTTTCTTTCTCTATAATATATATATATATATATACACACACAATATATATATATATATATATATATATATGTATATATAATTTCTTTTTTCTTTTTTGAAGGCTACTCGTTCCGCTATTAAAGTGATTTAGAGTTATAAATAAGAACAAAAATGGAATATTTTTGCTGCCATCTTTCTCTTTCGTTTTATTTTTCTTTCCTTTTCTTTTTTCATCTCTTTCAACTTCTTTCTTGTAGTCAACAAAAAATAAAATTTCTACCATGTCAATTGGGTTAAATTTGTACACCCAAATCTTCACTATACCTACATCTTAACAATTTCACTCCATTACTTTAATTATGATTTTTTTTTTTCTTCCCTTCTTTGTACATTTCAATTCAATCTTTACTATTATTCATGATTTATTAAGGATATAATTGTCAAGTTAAATTATATTAATAGTTAAAAGAGCTTCAAAAAATTTACCCACCAAACAACTTTTTGTGTTTTAAATTCATGTCATCAAAATGCATTCTTTAAAGTCGATTCAGTGGAAGGAATTTTAGAAAGTGAAAGCTACCCCAAACAGGACCCTAATGTATTACGTTATATGGTAATTAAGTAAATAGATATCAAATTGATATTATAGTCAACTTTATTATTATGATAATTATCATATTGGTATTTAATTATTGGATAAGTATTTTATTTTTTTTTTCTACTTTGAAACAACACGCATAATGTTTATGTGCGCAAAAAAAGCTAAGAGAGAGAAACCAATTTTTACGCTTGACTATTGTCCAGAGTTATAGTCTAGCACATTGTTCATTCCGCTCAATGTTTGGCTTGATCTTTACTAGGTATACTGTCATGGATCGAAATATTTATATTTATATTTATATATATATTTTATATTTATTTATGCATTATGAATATGTGAAAAAAATAAAATTTTAAAGAGTTTGGAATTCATATTTTATTTGTGTATGCTTAACGTTTGCACGAATAATTATAATTTTTACATCCCTAAGTACATCTCAAAACTCCCCTCATCTCTCTGTTTTTTTCTCTCCCCCTCTTATATTAACTCTTTTTTAACAATCCACATCACATTCTCTCTTTATATATACACCTATAAGGTGTACTTGATTTGAATATACATATATAATGAAACTTCAACAGAGGCATGAACGAGCTGACAGATTATCATGTCGACTGACATTCAAAACTTTCATATTGGCATTCGACAAATCCTTTACTTTTCATAGCTAACATTTACTTGAGTGAGAGAACTAATAAAATTGTGAATCTGAATAACTTTAATTACTCTCCAATTATTTGCTTTAATTGATTGGAGTTTTAATTTCTCCATGAATCAGAAGATAAAATAGATTTTTTGATGATTTTTATTTTCTCTCTAACCAAACAAAAGATCATGGTTTTTTCTTCAAATTGTAATTGGATTGATGAAATGAATTGCTTGTAAGAGGAAATTTAATAAGAACAAAAGAAATTTATTTATATGGATCCGTGGTGGTGGATTTTCATCCCTCCAGACTTTTTTCACTATTTTATATATATATATATTTTTTTTTATTTTTTTTTTATTTTTTTTTTTTGTGCTATCTGCAATTTCTGGACAGATAAAGGAAGAAATAAGAGAAGATTAAGGAAGAAGGAAGAAAAAATAAAAAATTCAAATAACAGTAAACTTATGAATGTAGGAATCAAACAATGGAGCAAATTTTTTTTTTTTGAAACCTTATGAAAATAAAAGAAATAACAAACAAAACAATAAACCAAAAAAATAATAATAAAAATGAAAGGGAGAGATAGAAAGTTGGGTGGACTATCAGGAAATTTCAGTTCTGAATTTTTGTCTCCGAATTCTTAAACTTGATGCGGCAACGGCGCCATTTGATGAATGTAAATGTCTAAAATAACCGTCGTCGTTCTTCTAAACTTCATGCAAAAATGATAAAAACCTGCAAATACTTGATAAAAATAATATAGGATAAGCAGGGTCGAACCACTCTCGAGTTAGATTTCGAACTCAAAGTCAAAACCAAAATCTATGGGATGAAAAAGAATATTTTAAAATAATTTCTTGAACTTTTTAATTATGAAATAAAAAATAAAATAAAATAAAAATAATATTAAACAATTTTTTTGATCAAATAATGAAAAAAGTCCAAGGGATGAGAATCCTCCACCACGGATCCATATAAACAAAAAAATTTTGCTCTTATCAAATTTCCTCTTATAAGTAATTCATTTCATCTATCCAATTATAACTTGGAGAGATGAAGAAAAATATATAATTAAATAACACTTGCTTATATATGAGAGAACATTTTTTATTTAATGTGATGTATTTTTAGTAAATAGAAAAAAATATTTTTCGAATTAACATTAATTGGCAAACACGAGGAATCCTCCTTCTATTTGATTTATCAATCTAAGAACATAGAATGGAAAAATAAAAGACATGTTCTACAGAGGAAAATTAAAACAAGAAATGAAAGAAATTCAATTACATGTCAGACATGGTGCCTTCATCTTTCCCTCCGAGATGAAATATTTTAAGCTAACATATTAACAATAAAATACAACATAGAAACAGAGATGTTCTTCGTTGAATAAAAGAAAGAATTACAAAGAAAAAGAAAAATGATGCAATACAATATAAAATTTCTAACTCTAACTCTTATTTTTAACCCCCTACCTCCTCAGCGTCCTCAGCCGAGGCCATATGTCGAGGCTGTTGTCTTTGCGCCTTTTCCAGCGTCCTCAGCCGAGGCCATATGCCTTGGTAAGGCTGTGTTTTGGGCCTTGAGTGGCAATTTTATTCCAATTTGGTTTGAAAGTGACTCACTATTTGTTTGCAAAGCAGTGTTGGGGCTGTGCCTGTGCCATGGCTGTTCCAAAATTCAGGCTATTGTTTATGATATCATGTAGGCCTCTAGGACCTTGGCTTCGGACTCTTTTAGCCATTTTTTTTTTTCCCGATAATTCTTTTAGCCATTTTCATTGCACTGGCAATCAAGTTGCTAAATTTTTCCAAACTAATTATAATTTGTTTCCAAAAATTGAGCCTAGCAGGTTCTGATTTATACCAAAACATATTCTCACTTCTTTTAAGCATGTTTTTCCAAAGATATCGGAATCAGAAAACAGAAAACAGAAAATACTAAATTAAATGCATAAGCACTTGCCCACATCATTATTAAATTCAAATAATTTACTTGAAAGTCCAAACCTGTGGACAGATTTTTGGCCTTCACGCTTGTTGAACCTTTTTTTTGGTAAGGAATGGGCATTAAAGTCAACCTACTGCATTTTGAGAGAGTGTTGTAAAGAGTCCCACATGGAAAAAAAAGTGAAAGCAGCAATGGTATATAGAATCCAAGCCTAACACACTTGGCCACGACCTTACTTGAACAGGATCTGTTCTATAGGCTCGTACCTCTGCATCCTTGATTACTAAGGAGACAGGAACCTAAGTCTGGTGGATGAACCGTGACTGCATGACCAGAGCGTGATTAATAGCTCTGTGGTTCGATGGACCATTAGAGCAGTAGAGGATCGTTCCCAGTCAGTTCCATCTGGCTGGGGTGGTCGTGCAGTTGTCTGACAGACTACCCAAAATTTTTATTTTGCTCAAAATAAACCGGGTTTTCGGGTTCTAAGACGTTCATACAAAAATAAGAAACCATTGTAACACTCAAAACTGAGAAATCATCCAAAGAACAAAGAAAATTGCATCCAACCTCACTTGTCCGACCTTTGATTAAACCACCACTGAAAATGCTCACAATAGAAACCGAAAATCATATATTACTACTTACTAGACAGGTGTCATATTAGGATAGAGCAATAGTGTATTCATTCCTAGATTAGCATACTCACCAGCTTAGAATATCCCTGTAAGGAGGTTTGCAGCAGTTGAGATGGCTGCACCGGTAATAGCACCCTGCACAATTTGCTCATGAGAAGAATCATCGGACGTGAGTGCCATCGCCATACCCGTAATAGCTCCCGCTACTGCACTGTTTTTCTGCACCATATAAAGGAAAAGCAATAAGACTAATTTAGGCTACTGAGAACATGAGGCAGCTGCTCTTCACAGAAAGGAATACGGTTCTTGGCATAAGACACGATTACGTCAGATTATGTCGCTTTGAATGGTTGATCAACACAGTGCCACCAATGAGTTGGTGTATTTGAGTCTTTCTTTTCTTTTTAAGTATAAAGGTCCGCTTTCATACAACACAAGATAGAATTGTTGGCCACTGAATAGCAAAGCACAACTCTTTCTTTGCCTCCGGTTAAGCCGTTTAAGCCCTTTATTACAAGGCGTCACAAAGTCCTTGCCTTCCACCTAGGGATGGCAATGGAATGAGTTCGGGGTGGGGGCTCGCTTCCCCAATCCCAGCCTATTGTTCATTTCCTCTGCACAGTCATTGCCCAAAATTGTTTAGCAGACAACCCCACCCCCCTTCCTGTCACCCGTTTAAATTCCCTGCCTCACCCCGTTTAAGTTCCAACTCAAAAAAAATTCTTAATTTTTCACTCATATTTAGGAATATAAACCAAGTAAACCTCCTTAGAAAATAACACTATTGTACCAAATTTACCAAATAAACATTAACATTCTTCTAACAAGAAGAGTAATTTTGTACACAAAATATAAGAGTGAAATAGTATTTTTCGCATTATAAACTGAGCAGGACCTTCCCCTTTCCCTGCAAGCACTCGCGCAAGTTTTCACTATAAAACCCGTCTCCGCTTAAAACCATTGAACAGGCCACCAAGACAATTTTAAACGGGGCAAGAAGGAGCGGGTGCCCAATGAGGCAGACCATTTTGCAATCCGTACATCCACCTATTGTTTCAAAATAAACCTAATTAAATTAGGCCATGCTCGGGCTAAACAGCAACCCGAATGGGAAACTTGGGGCCTTGACTTTTACTAGCCTAATAAAGGGAGGAGAGGTTAAAATGAGAGTAGTGTTTACTTCACGTAGGAACCGGATAAATAAAAGTCACAATTAGAGTAACCCTTCTACACAATATAATCAAGATTTTGTTAGAAATTTGCTAACCATATACCTTAACAGTAAGTAAATAAGTAAAGAGAAGGCAAATTGCAGTTCCTAACTTCTATCATTTTTGTATCGCAACTGCATAATTGTTGGCTTGATTGTCCTGTTAAATTAACTAAAAGGACCTTAAATCAAAGGGAAAAACGAATAAATTCATGATATTAATGTAGATCCTGACAACACTCAAGATGGCATTGTAAGCACAATAAAGAGTCATGTATGCATCTTAAAAAGGAGCCAAAAGAGATCTCCTAAAGATAGAATCAAAACAAATATGCAATGTTTGGAATTGACCTAATTGAGATCTACAATGGAATTTTCCGTGTTTAGGAGAACTTTCTCCTTCCATATAATCCCAAAATGCAGCACCATTAAAGCATGAAATTCTTGAAATAAATATGATACATAGAGAGAGATGCAAAGGAAATTACTATCCATAGAAGTCCAATTCTTAACAGAAGTATGTGGCAGCATAAGAGTATATCACTTCATTGATGACTATGGTGGGTAGCAGCATAAGAGTACATCACTTCATTGATGACTATGGTGGCTTTTCCACTTAAAAAATAAAACATAAGACAGATCGGGGAGATGAAACGTAGGATTTACCCAATCATGAGTCCCACGAGCCTCCTCTAGCCCATATGTGAGGCCCGAGTACATTCCAGCTGCCAGTCCTGCAATGACAACAGATTATTAGCTCCCTAAACACTTCCATCCGCCAGGCCTGAGTTTATTGACACATACTTTCAGACTTTGTGCACAAACATCATCTCACTGCTACCTAAGTTCATATCTCAAAGAATTAGCCGTCGTTTAAATGCCCAAAAAAACTATATTCTAAAGCCCAAAGAAAGAAGAGTGCATTACGTAGATAGCTAACATAAGATCGCTAACATAAGATCAATACCCAAAACCTCTAAAAGAAAAACAAGGTCCCGAATTTTGTTTATTTACAGGACCAAAGAAAAATCAAAGAAAATACGAACTTCAGCCATTTGACTTGGTAGCCATAGTTCAATGGAAATATATTCCGCCAGATTCTTACTATAGACTTCAAAAATAAACAAATGCTATTCGGGAACATAGAACTTACCCCACTGTACAGATTCTCTTCCAGTGTTCCTTACCTGAAAATCGTTGCAGTAAGATAAAAATTACAAACAGAACTGAATCACAAAAGTGAACCACAGCGCAACAAGAGGACCTGATAAAAATGTCTTATAGGCATGTGAACGAAATAAATTATATAACCATCTGGTGGGTCATAGTAAGGGCAATAAAATGGTTGGGTGCTTCTTCTATTACAAATACTTCCCAAAAACTAAGACTGGCATTACTGCAATCGGTAATTGTTAGTGTTGGTAACCAAGTTGAAATCGCATTTACAGCACTGGTAAGGAGCTAGAACAACATTTTCATGGGTTGTTGCTGTTCTATCAGAACACTGTCATGGTTCCAAAAGATATATTACCGATCTAGTTACATAAGAAATTAATCTAATGCAGTAGGTTTCGAACGTACCAATGCTTCAATAGACTTTCTGTTTGTTTCCCCTGCATTGAACATGAAAAAATAAAAATAAAAAATAACACTAAAAAGACAGCTAACAGAAAATCCTTCAAACTAATTGAATTACATCATTCAAAAGTGGATAACACATAATCGGCCGGAATAGTGTGCTACGTTTCGTAGCCGAGCATTCCATCCCTGTAACTTATGTAGATGAATTGTATGTTTAATCTCTCCAGAAAACCAACAGCGGGATTAATTGTATCCTAAATTCAGAAATGGTAGCCTGTTTTAACAAATTCATTAAATGAAATCACATCCCCCAAAGTTATAGCAATTGAGGCATTTATGTCAATTATTCACCCACTATGCAGCATTTTGTACCATTGGACTAGATTCCCCTGCTGCTATTAGTCCACCCAGTGAAAACTAAAGACACAGGACAACCACCTCTTCGAGGTGTTGGTCCAGGCCTAATGTTGCAAGATTAAAGGCGAGAAAATGAAGGGCTAGCTGGAAATTTGTCAATCTAAACCCTCCAGGCTCTCTCTTTAAATTGAAAAATACTCGAGCGCTCCTGAATCACCAACTGATTGATTAAATGGTGACATATATTGATATGACCCACGGAAGTAAACGCATATTTTATAGAACAATGATATATCCTCTAAATTCGGAGGAGCAAATGGGGAACCAAAGGGCTTCCCCGTTGCCTCCCGCCTGAATGTAGCTCCCCATTTGCTCCTCCAAATTCAAAGGTTTTACCATTTTCCTTTTTAATATGATTGGTTGATGAAATTGGTGATAATGGAATAATCAGCTTTTTGTCTAGTTTGTTATAGTACCTACCTGTATATAAACATTAATAGCCGAATACATCCCATATCAACACATTGATTCAGCAAATACAAAACCACTAACAGTGTGTGCGTTTGGCGGCAAATGCAATAAGCTGAACTTTATTGAATTTTATCTCATAATAGAAATTTCCTGAAAAGCTAAATTAGAGTATTGGATTTTACCATTGATGGACAAGTAAAATGGCAATTCCTTCCAAGCAATGCAATATATTCCTAAGGGAAGTGTGTGTATTATATACATACACAAACATATGTATATGTGTGTGCGTATAACCATTTTCTTCTCATAAAATATACACAAACACATGGTATATGTTTGTATATATAACTAAGGGCCATTAATGAATTAATTAATTAGGAAAAGAGGAGCTAGCTAGGTGCGTTGTTTGTAGCAAGCGTACCTCTGAGGTCAGGAAATCGATGCTTCTTGTTCTTGCTAGGGCTATCTGCACCTGATCATATTCGAGTCCAAACAGAATTCATTGTACAATGAACACATTAATTAATTAATTAATTAATTAATTAATTATATATATATATATACAATCATCTTCTCACCTTCAACAGTCGTGAAATAAGCTTCCCGCGACACAGCCTGAATCGCTCCAATCTGTTAAACAAATCCATGTTTATATAGAGAGAGACACACACAATGTGTACAAATTGTGTGCTTCATCTAAATGTTTTTGTGTGTTTGTTTGTATTCATGTATACATAGATCGATATAAATATATATATATATATATGTATGTATATATTACAGAAGCGGCTTTGACGAAGCTTTCGACGATGCGGTTGAGGAGAGGGTGGCCGAGATCGAAGAGACTGCCCTTGTCCAAGCTGCGAAGGTCATTCAGCAGTGACCGGCCTTGGCTTTCCAAATTGCTACCAAGACTATTCATCTTTCGTTCTCTTTCTTTACAACCAAACAACAACCTACAATAACACCCACCGATATATATATATATATATATATATATATATATATATATGTATATGTATATGTATGCAGAGTGTGTGAATGTGTTGTGAGTGCGGTAGAAGAAGAAGAAAAGAAGAGGATGGTGGTATTGACACGTGTAAAGAGTTTCCTTACGTGTCCAGTTTAAGTAACGAGAACGCGGAACTCGTGGCCGACTCTTAGGATCTACTCTGCCACGTGGCATCTGCTACGTATGATCCAGGTCAAAAGTCTCTGGATCATAATCTGCTGCAACGCTGGTGGGAGGATTTCACTGCAACCCTATTGAACCAGTGCCAATTATAAATCAAAAACTTGCACCTTTTACTTCCTATAATAAAAAAATAAAAAGGGAGAGAAATTAAAAAGGAAAAATAATTTAACTAGCAATTTTTTTCTTTAAATGTTAAAGATGACATGGTCTTTTTCTTTTTTTAAAAAAAAATTAAGCAGTTCATGCACACACACTAACATACTAGATTAAGAAAGCTTATTTTCTACAACTTTTTCTTTTAACTAATTCCTTACTCTCTGTGTGTGTTTTTTTGTTTCCTACTAAATTATTCAGATGTGTTTATTTGATAATTATGTAAATCCTTTGCCACAACTACAAACGTACCATTTAGATAGATCCCACTAGAGCACACTAATAATTTTTCCTCAACACTTGGTAAATTAATTCAGTAAAAATTCTTAATAAACTAATTCAACGAGTTAATCCACTAAATATTAATAGATGGAAACTATTTAATAATTTTTCCTTAACACTTGGTAAATTAATTCAGTAAAAATTCTTAATAAACTAATTCAATGAGTTAATCCACTAAATATTAATAAATCGAAACTATTTAATAATTTTTTCACAAATAAGGACTAAAAAGCTCTCGAGACCATGGTAGGACGATCTCAAGGGCTTGCCATCTTGCCTTTGTCTTGGGACTTCGAAAAACCTTGAATAGGAAGATGAAAAGTTGAAAGGTAGCCTAGATACTGAAACCCTTCTAATCACGTTGAATGCGCGATGGTTGCATTTATTGCTGACTTAAGGTTAACAAGCCAGGCCTATAATGGGATGGCTCAAAGACTATTGTGACCCTCTAGATTCCAAAGGAGCATCATTGCCTACTAGAATAGGTAAGGACTGAGGTGTGATGGCTCAAAGACTATTGTGACCCTCTAGATCCCAGAGGAAATTATCATTGCCTATTAAAATGATAAATGTAAATCAAATATGAATAGACGTTTACCACATTTAAGACATATTGCTTGTATACATGAGGTGTTCCTTTTAAACAAATGTAATCAATCATTTTCTTTGGATGGTTTACCATCAACAAAAATTAGTGACTTTTTATGCATAAAGAAAAAACATAGCTGCATCAAAGTGAACACACGGTTAAGGAATTCTTAAAAAAAATGGAATTTTCCACTCAATATAAAATAATACAAACAAAACCACTAATCAAATATGTACTGGTAAAGACAGCCGGGTCAGTTTTAAAGATTCTGTTGTAATCTTCCCATACCTTTCTTAGGACAGCCTTGCATTTTTCAACTGATTTCAACAACACTACTCTACTGTTATCCATCAATTGTACAGTACTGTTATTCAGAACGAATTTTTTGCCACATACTCCTTGAGTATTATTCAAAAACTTTCCCCAAAAATTTATAACCTAATATAATAAAATAATAAATATTAGTTGTTGAATTTTTTTAAACCATAAACCTGTCATGGAGGGTAAAATAAAATTATTCAAATAAATCTACTCATCGGGCTCGAAACAAGGTTGGGTACGAACAAAGTTACCATGTCACATTGAAAGAGGTCTTGACCATACATCACCACCAAGATTTCACTGATAAAATGAATGACAAGTTGTAAAAAAAATTTAAACATATAAGATACTTAATGTTGTTCAAAAAAATAATAAAATAAAACTAGAAGTATCAAAATAATTTTTATCACTTACTAATTTTCATGGCCAATAGCTGCAACATAACTTAACAATTTCCTCTGCTCTTTTTTTAGCCGAATATTTTTACCATCTTCAATGGCCAATGAGAGAAGGAATATGGTCCAGGCTTTAATATCCTAGTGCCTCTTCCGCACTTTTATTTTCAGCAACTTCAGAGTCTGATATTGCAATTGCATATTTGGATGGTGTACCACTTCACTCAAATTCTATGTTGGGAGGGGATTCGGTAACTCTTTCAGGTACGGGAAATGTCACACCAGGGATTATCAAGACTGATACCTGAGTTATGATTAGAGGGATTTAGGAATTTGTATGAAAAATATTATTTTTTACACTTCAATCACCACAACAAACTTAAGCAGATCACCTGTTATAAAATTTTCGTTTATGTTTTTTCTTTTCTTTTTTGGTCTTTGTGCTTTCTTGGTATGCCTACGATAGCAAGCTTATCTCTTACTTCTTGGGTATGGTTGCGATACCAAGCTTTGTCTCTTACTATTTTCTGCATATGGCCTTCCTCTTTGTACTTAATTTGTATGTATTATTAAAACTGCTTAATGAGATAATCTAATTATACAAATCAAATTTTTAATGTCTTCCCTGCTTCTAAGCCTTCTTAGATTTAGCGTCTTCCCTGTTTTTAAGTCTTCTAAAATTTTATTTGTTGGAAATATTTAGCGTCTTCCCTGCTTTAAGTCTTCTTAGATCATGTTAAATTATTTTTCTCTAACGGGCTAAGTGTCCTTGTCAGTTCACCACCAAGTCTTCCAAGAAATTTTTTTATGTAACTTGCAATGAGGCAACATCCAAAGAGAACGCAAAAAGATCTTCCAAGAGCTTCTTATCACTAAAGTAAGGGAAAACTAGTATAAGGGAGAGGTGAATAAAGAGGGAGAGCTTTTAATAGTACAACCCAAATTTGAATCCTTAAAGTACAACATCTAAATTAAGAGATAACAGTAAGTTTCAATAAAAAAAAAAAGCTTCTATTCTGACTCAAATTACTAAAAAACAAATGGGCTACAATGCCTTCTGCTAATACTCATATGTTAAATAATCTTATTATGAGAACTACCTAGTCAATATCCTAAATAAATTGTTACAATATTAAGGACCTGTCATGATCATAGGACTTTGACAGAAGGTTTCGTTGTTATATAATGTCATTATTCTTAGGTTTCTATTTTCTACTATTATTTAAAAATTGGAATAATGTAAACTGTTTTTTAAGTTACCATAACTAATATACAATAATAATCACAATGTAAGCTTAAATATACAATAATAATCACATAATAGCTAATAAATAACTAAATCAAAGCAAATAAAAAGTGAGAATCTTACAGGAACACTAGTGAAAACAATATCGTTCTGAACGGCCTTTTGATCCATAATAAATCTCTCTTCCCTATTGGGCATATCGAGGCCATAATACATCTTAAATAGTCCACTAATGGGTATATCCCATGTGTCGTCATCATTTAGAGGTGCATGTTGTTGCTCACCAATTGTGTCCATCTCCTCCCAAACAAATTGTTCCCCCTCACATATGTAAATGGGGAACGCAATGTTTTCCTTCATGCATGTATCTTCATCATTTAGAGGTGCATGTTGTTGCTCACCAATTGTGTCCATCTCCTCCTCAACAAATTGTTCCCCCTCACATGTGTAAATAGGGAAGGCAATATTTTCCTTCATGCAAGTCTCTTCATCATTTAGAGGTGCATGTCGTTGCTCACCAATTGTATCCATCTTCTCCCCAACGAATTGTTCTCCCTCTCATGTGTAAATGAGGGAGGCAATGTTTTCCTTCATGTATGTCTGTTCTTCGTAGTTCGACACATCTTTCCCCTCAATAGAACCTTCCCCTTCCCCATCACTTTCACCAGTGCCCTCCCCATTCTTCTTACCAAACACTATTGGTCTTTTCTGGGAACAACGCTGCCTCAACAAAGACTCTAGTCTGTGAAGCTTCTTTTTTGATTTTTTCGCATTCTGTATTATTTCCATCTGAAGATCTTTGATGTAATGCTGCATAAAGAGACCATTGAATTAATTTTAAATTGACAAAAAAATGTATTAATAGTTTGTTAACGTAATTGAATGTATTTTTACCTCCAACACGGTGTCCGAACAACTATCATTGTAGGACTCAGACTGAGAAGGGGACAACTCATGTAGAGATGGGCTAACATTAGCATTCCTGTAATATAGTCTCGGCCGAATTGTGGTCAACTTTTTTTATGTTATAAAAACATAATTAGTCAATCTTCAATTATGACCAAATGTCATTCTCATATGTTGAACTGCATATTGTACAATTAAATATACATAATGCAAATTGTAGGTACAATGCAAATAAATAAATTTTATTAATACCTGACCATATCCAAAACCTCCCATCTCATGCTCCCATCTTAATCGTTCACATACAAGGTTCGTGTCCCAAAATCCAAGGCTTTGGGTATCTTTAGTGTCATAACATGGGTGTTGCACTTCACATCTTATTAAGTAAATAAGCTGAATTTCATTTAACAAAACATATGAGACATGATTAATATTAACAAATAACGTCAGTCATAAAATGAACTATCTAGTGTAAATATATCTTTTAATTTATACCTGCAATAAAATCACGAATCCAATGTACATTTGTTTCCCATCCCCATCTTCGGGGGTTTTCAACGATTTCACCAAACAATTACGCACATAGGTGCACCAATTGTAAGATGTAATTGCATTCACATCTTCAACAGCTTTTCATAAGCCTACGTGTGCATGATATTGTCCATTCGGAGAGAGTACAGCTGCACAAGCAAATAGTACAAAGGCTCTCTTGAAATCTTTAACAGCCTCCAAATTCTTTACCCTATCCATCAGTTGGTCCACATGCATTTCGTTATCATTGCGATACCCACCTTCGTCTACCCAATCAGAATCAAAATTTTTACAAATAGGCACTGGGATAATGCCGGCAGGTTTACCAATAATGGACTGGACATCAATTGCATTAATGAGCAGATACGCATTCTCCTCTTGAAGTCTAATCCGACATTTTTGCACTTCAAAATTTTCTACCAAGTAATTGAAGATTTTAGTTGATAAAAATGAATATTTCAGGTTAAGCATATTGCCAAAACCAATATCCTCAACATTGTTCCTCTTTTCCTCTTTCAGATTGGATACTACTTCAATGAATTTCGACAAAGAGCATCTATGCCACCCAGCTTTTAATTTGAACTCTTCATTCTAAATTAAAAATAAATTCTTATTAACAATCAGGCATTATATGTCTTCAAACAAAATCACATCTCATTTAAAACATTACCTTATTTTTTTTGAATTTTTTTCTTTCCCGTCTCTTATCCATTACAACCCTAAAAAGATATGGTTTTCAATTTGTAATAAGAGGTAAAGTTATAATAATTTTTTTTTTATAGATTGCAATTACTCAACAGTGTCCTGGCTAAAACATTTATCAATTACTCCAATCCTGAAACACAGTAGAAAGCAAAGAAGAAATAAGTTAAGCAGCAAGAATAAAATGCAATGCATGGAAATCTTATAGTAAAAGTATCCTATATTTTTATAATTTTATAAACATAATTTAAAACTTAATAAGTGTGTAATTATTGCAGGAATTCATAAATACAATTAAAGATATGAGTGTGTGCATAAAATGTAAACATTGCCATGCTGGTCTCCTACATCGAAATTGAAAGTAAAAGTAAGGGCAAGCTAGAAATGCACTCTCACAACTCACTAAGAAGCCAAAAGAGTACAAACTTACCACGCTGGTTTCCTACATCAGAAACACCAGCCACTTGATTTTACCTTTGAACTCAACTTTAGCCAGACACGTACCCTCGAGCTCTATTCTTGTTCACCAAATCTGTCGCCAGTTAAGCAAACCCATTAGTAACTTTTCAAAGATAATCAACAAATGCTCCAAGAACAATATAAATGCATACATACAGTTCTAAGTCCCTCAATAACTTCAAACTATAATAAAAATTCAGAAATTCTCTGAAAGATCTTCAATAACATCCTAATAATGCGTATGTGTATCACAGAAAGGCTAAGAACCTTTAATCTTTTCTATGTATCTGTTTTTTTTTTTTTCCCAATTATAAGACCCTATAGGCCTAGAAATACTTCTCCAAGTCTTAGAATGACTAGAAACGAATCTGAAAACTTTGGATGAGTTTTGGATTGTTCAAAAATAATTCGAACTTAAAGACGTCATATTTCCAATCTAGCCTATAAGACCACCAGTAGACAATTATGAGCATTAATGCTCCACTTTCTAGAGTGTTATCTTGTATTTAAAGTTGGACATTCTTCAAAAGTTTGAGAAATAATCTGACTTGTAGGCTTAGTTGAGGGCCAAATAAAGACGAAATTGATCGACTAATATACTGTAAGAAAACATATTGAATTACTTTTTGGATTTCTTTTACAGGTAATAATAGCGAAATTCATCTTTGATAGTGATAAAATTCATTAAAGAACATGCAACGGACCCTCCTCATCCCCTAACTACAAATGTAGGCTAAGCGATGTAATCTTCATATATCTCTATATTACATCCACAAATTGAAGATTGTGCCAGAATATTATCCAAAGCAAAAATATCATTAAATAATATCATAGCACCTACTAACTACTGTGCGTGGAACAAGCTATATCCATAAATACAGATGAGCAAAGTCATAAACTGAAGTGGTCTTTCATTGCAAAGATATTTTCTCAAGTCAGGTACCGCTTACAACGGGAGCAATAATGGCAATCCGAAAAAAAACCCCAATACTTAGTTGGGCTAGACGATAGTAAAATTGATATAACTGCTATAAATGGTCCGATACTGAAGAAACGAGGATCTACTTTAGATAGAAGAAGGTTCTCATTGTTGTACCGTACAGAGGTGCCTCTTAATAGAACCGGGCGAGTTGGCTTTTAACGATTGAATAGGAGAGGGGATTTACCCCACTTAGAACAGACGGGAAAAAGAAGCGTATTGAAGTTTGATTTTGACCTAACACAAACCAATCAATCTTAGCTTATGAACGGCATACTCGGATATTTAACCTCACTACTTTTGAAGATGAGAAAACAAACCAATCTGGTCAACCTTGTCTAATGAGTGGCGTAGCATGAAAAGACAATACAATGTAGAATTACATCTACACAATTCTTCAAACGGCATTGATCTTGTAATTATAATGGCGCCCCAGGTTTTAGAGTTTAATAAATATCACATCATAAACACTGAATTTTCGTGCTAAAAATTTTAACTACTTTTCAAGATTATAATGTACAGTTGTTTAAAAATAATAAGATTACCCTAACGCTAAATCAGAGAAAATTTGGCCTCAAATCCACCCACAAAAATACAAAGAGAAAATGTGGGAAATTACAAAGGGCAACATTGGCGCCCTATATATCCACATATAGGCACATTGCTCAAGAAAAGGAAGCAAGGTGGAAGGATACAAAAGATCAATCGAAAATTTAAATTACAAAAATTAATGCTAATGACCGTTTATACAGAAGCAAGAGTTACTCAAGCTCAAAGCATCAAAAAAAAAAAAAACAACACTAAATGAAGGTGATGTCTGCGACCACATTGCGAAAGCATGATGTCACCCAGCCCTCGAACTGTACAGTATCCTCTCCCAGCATTCCGAAAACCAGTCATCTGCATTCTGATGGTTCACTTCTTTTGAGGAATTAAGTTCCTTTCGTAGCACGAGCACGCGTGTGAGTCATAATAACCAATGGTGAGAAGAATTCTCAATGCCGGATATGATTCTTGAAAAAAAATTTAAGACCTATCTACAGCCATTTCTGGTGAAGAATTGTGAGGTATCAACGGACAGTCCTCTCCGCCGATATGTCTACCGTCTGAAGTATTATGGAAACTACCCGAACAGCTTCTAGGAGCAGCAGCTGGTTCCACATCTGTATGGTTTTCCTCATCTGAACTGCTACTGTTATCAGAATAGCTTATGGATGCAGTATGTCTCTCCTCTGGGTGCTTTACATCATCCGAACTCTTGTTTGAGTCTGGACAGCGAGGAAAAATATGCACGGCACTTGCTGTTTTCTTGCATGGTAATACTGCCTGACTTAGCGTGGAGCACAAGGCAGCAAATACACTCTCCTTTGACTTTGTGCTTTTACCCAATCGTTGCTTCTTTACCCGCTCAGGCTCCTCTTTTGAAAGCAATTTTCGTTTTAACTTGAGGGATTCGACTGTTCCCTCATCTCCACCAAAGGGTTCCAACTGTTTCCTAGGTGGTGGCTTGTAGTCTTCATCATCCTCATCATCATCATAGTCAACAAGTCCACCAGATCTCGCACTACTAAAGTGAAACAAAACACAAAATATAGCATACTACTGTGAATAGTGTTGATAAATATTGTAAAGAGAGGAAATTACAATACCTTAATGATGGGACATTTGAAGCACATCCATTGGGTACAACAGGCAGAGATTGTACTCTATGTGCATTTGACACAGATGCAGATGCAGAATCTTCTTCATCACTGATTAAGAACTAGAATCAGAAGCTGTTCACTAGGAAACTTACACAAAAAATTTCTATCATCGATAAAACACACGCACCTGTCCTCATTGAAGTAGTCTTCCTCTTCTTTCTCGAGAGAACGCTCATCCATACGTTTTCTGGGGTCTAACACATTGATGGTGCTTTTCACTCCAGTATTCTCTAGGGACTGCACATTCACTCATTAAAAACAGTTGATTTCTGAATCCGAAAGTGAGAATTCAGGAAAGAACAGAGGATACCTGCTCGTATTTAACTTTTAAAGACTGGATTGAAGCTAAATTATCAAACTTGGCCAACTGATCCCAGAATGAATCAATTAAATATTTCAGTAATATCTTCAAGTTCTCCTGTATGAAACAAACTCATCAGGAGAATATTTCCAGTTATATCCAATCAAATGCAACATACGACAATGTGACGTATATGAGAACCTTCCGGATATACTCAAAGAGCTCAAGAACTGCAGAGTTCAACAGATTATAACGATTGCCATTGTCCACCAAAGCATCCACAATTGGTTTCAAAAGGTTGTTCTTCACAATATGATTCATCAAATGCTCATCCTGCGCAATACCACAATAGTACGTTACCTCTAAATAAATATATAGCCCCAAAGAACACTAGTTAAAACAGATAACTAGATAAGGTCCATGATAGGACTAGAAATTGACTAGTATATAATTCATAAAAAAGTTGCATTCAAAATTTACAAATTTACAGGATGCATCTGTAAAACTGAAAAAACCTAAGAAAAATACACAGCTGAACTTGCAGGAATTGATTTCTTCCATGGAAGTTCAATGACTTCAAGATCTAAAAAATCACAGGATACACCTGTAAACCTGAAAAAACCTAAGGCTGCATTTGGCTGCATAGAATTGAAGCTTTGGAATTGGAATTGGTGGAATTGGAAGAAAAAAATAATTCAATTTTGTGAGTTACTTTTCTCCAATTCCACCAATTCCAATTCCAAGGCTCCGATTCCATGCAGCCGAACATAGCCTAAGGAAAATGCACAGCTGAACTTGCAGGAATTGATTTCTTCCATGAAAGTTTGATGACCCACTCCTGCAGGTTATGTATGCAACATAACACCACTACTTATTTTGTTGTGTCACAAAAATGTGTTTTTAGCTGATTTTCCAGTAAAAATAAGAATAATAAGAACAAGAATAGACTTTGCAAGATCTACATTAAAGTGTCAGTAAACCAGTTCAATTACATGTTAATGCCTTCTGGTTAAATATGAAACATAATACCTAGGTGGCATTATGGCAGGTTTTTTAAAAAAAAAATAGATAAAAACAAAAACAAAATTATTTCAAGGAAAAATTAAGTCGAACCTATGAGACAATATGAATTTACCCTAAGTGGCATAAAGGCCCTACTCTACATCGAATCGGCATTCTCCTAACCAGAATTATGTCATCACATTTAATCTATGAGACAACATACAGTAAGTTTATAGTATCTGACAAACAAAATCACTGTCTTGGCGTCTTGTTCTATGTATCAAAACGACACTCATTCCTAGTAACATTGTACTTGAATATAGCTTTCACTAAGTGAAGTTACCAAGCAAGAGGCAGTTCAAAGATAAATTAACATCTCAGATAAACCAACTCAACCTAAGAAATAATACGCCAGTTATTATAGTCATTTATACATTTAACAATGTATTGATTACTACATTCTACTGGAATTCACTATTCTGTAAATATGGTAATTAACCAACAAAAGGCGGTCAAGATATCAATTGACACCTCAGTTAAACCAACTCAACCTAAGAAATAATACGCCAGTTATTATAGTCATTTATACATTTAACAATGTATTGATTACTGCATTCTACTGGAATCCACTATTCTGTAAATAAGGTAATTAACCAACAAAAGGCGGTCAAGATATGAATTGACACCTCAGTTAAACCAACTTCATTTGACACCCAATCACTGCCGTACTTCACTTTCATAACTAATTACTTTCCACAACAAACCTCCACAACTACTTAATCCCCTTCGCAAAAACATTATAAAAACAAAAACAAAGGAAGGACCCAAAAGAAAATGGTGGGCAAATATTTTCCAATCAACAAAATGATATTTTAAACTCATTCCCTAGCCTTCCCCATACAACAAAGTAACTTTTTTAATGAAGTTCTAACTCTTCCCAACAAAAGCACAAATAATAAACAGAGACACGAAATACACCAGAATTTTACCCGAATTTGGTAGTTCAACCATCATTTCTCATCTTCTGTTCGTATTTTCTATCAAAGCCCAAGACTTTATTGAACAACTCTCTAAATGATCTCCAATAATGTTTTTGAACTTGATCCATATATAGAATGCTATTTCAGCTCACTAAATGAGTTCAACAGCTTTAAAAATAAATTCCTATTACAGACTAAGGTGTTATTTATGTGTGTAATTAAATGAAGTTTCTTAGTTCTTATTTACTTGTAACAGTGCTCCATAAATTTATGAGTTCCTCTTCTTTTCATACTTAATAGATTGATAAACAATATATCTACATAAATACCATTTTTTCATTCCACTCTATCCAAAGTCATAGCCTAAGTCAAACCAAATGTTAACATATCCTTAGTAATTCTACCCACGTTAACTTTGGTTTTTCTCTTCCCCTGGCATTACCCTACATTTCTGAAAAATATCATATCTACAGTATTTCTAAAAATAACCTTTTTGAATTGATAATGAATATGATGTAAAATCATTTTGTTTTTGTAATGATTCAAAGGGTTTTATTTTCTTATGATAACCCATTTATTTAAATCAGTAGCTTCATAACACGTTGATATATTCTACTTCACTATCTTTTGGTATTATTCTAGACCATCTAACCTGATATAAATCGCATTGAAGCGGAAGCTGAATCAGTTGCAGGCTATAATGTAGATTACGCTCGGGGTGCAATCCTTAATAGTTCACTGTTGGTGGATTTCCCAAGAACAAGAAGAAAAGAGGGGGTCTGTTGAATTTCATTTTTACAAAAGAAGAAAAATATAGGATTAAGTGTTGACATTATGGGCGTACAATGGGAATTGAACCCGTGCATGGTATTCACAATCCACTGCCTTGATCCATACCAACAGATACAAAGAGACCTGCCAACAGTGAAAATTACCTTTAAAATAAATAATTTCCCTTGATTCATTCAGGCATTCGGAAGTTTCTTACAAGTTAAATTGAAATGAAAATATTCCCTTCGCTCCAAAATAAACCTTTATTGCAATATTAAGAAAAGCAAGATGATCTGCAAGTACGAAACATGGGTTGTGTGATTATCTGTAAAATATGTATGCTCGTCACAAAGAGGATAACTCACAAGAATAATGTGAATTTTTAATAACATTATCAATATTATAAAATGACAATTTTAAACTGGAAATAACGAGAAACTGTGTTTTTATTTCTTTTATCAAATTTTTTTTTTTTTTAATATGTAAAATTGTATAAAAGCGCTCAAAAGGGAAGCGAATCCCAAGAGAAGAACACAAGGCCACAAAGGACCTAAGCCTTCAAAGAGGCCAAAAACTCTACAATCTCCTCTAAAGATCTATAATCTCTCCCTGAAACCCAACAAAAAAGAGTGGAAAGAATAGAGAATTTAAGAATAGAAATCGACATCTCCTGCCCATCAAAAATTCTCCTATTCCTCTCTAGCCAAATGCACCACCACACACACAGAGGCGTAGCCCTCCAAGCATCCCGAATGTGAGCTCCCACAAAGCAACCACTCCAGGCCTCAATCAACCCTCTAACGGATCTAGGCATGACCCATGGAAACCCAAACAAGCCAATCATCAAATCCCAGCAGTCTCTAGCAATTATCAATTCTTATTTGATTGGTTTCATTGTTGCCATTATATATCAAGAAACTTGTTTCTTGACTATTTTCTTCTACAAAAAATGTGTATTGATTCTGGGGATATTAATGATGCAAAGAAGGATATCTATCTACATCTTTCCATAGAAAAATTAATAAAATTATGTAATTTAAAGATTAATCTAACATTTGTTTTTTTAATATTTGCAATTTTTTTTTTGGAAATTCTAATTGATAACTTTGTTTGTTAGCACTAATATTTATGCCTGGAGTTGCTTTTTTTCCCTCTTTTGCAAGTCTTTCAGATCAATTTCTAATTGCACTTATTCTCCCAATTAGATAATTCATTTTTCTCTGGAAGGAAAAAATTATCCAATTCATAGAATGAGTTTAATTATATGATTTGATCGGAGAATCTTTTCTTTTTCAGTTTCACTCATTTCATCTACTTCAAAAAAAAATTATGCAGTTGTAAATTTTTGAGCAGTAGTATGAAGGTAAATGGTTCAGTAGTATGAACAAAATTAGTCAACAATATTGAGCAGTAGTATGAAGGTAAATGGTTCAGTAGAAAGAACATAACCAAAAAATATGCAGTTGTAAATTTTTGCACAGTCGAAAACCAAGAGAATAAGAAAGAGGTAACTACCCATAGCTTGTACAGACTGAACCAAAGTGCTGCCCACAAAAAGTGGCTGCACTGATACTCAAACATGCAGAGTAAATCTATATGAGAATATAGGGAAGTTATGCAAGTGAAGAGAGCATATATCATCTCCCAGTCACAGAAGTCAGTTGTCAAAAATTAGGAGAAAGAGCACTCGAGTCACTCAAGTGAGATATTGTTTTAAGCAATTTCGTGCTTTCAACATAAATTACCTCCCTAAGAACAGATATAATTAATAAATGTATCTGTCAAAGTGGTACTGCCCAATCCCCACCTGAAATAAAAGTTGCTACCAAACTTTCATAAAAATATGTAATCCAGTACGTAATAACCAATTTTGTTACCCAAATGGGAAAAAGAAAAATTAATTTACTCCAGGTAAATCAAATAAATGAGCTCTATTCACCCTAGGACCAATATGTTATCCTTAATGACAATATGAATTGCAACTCCGAGAACCACAATGTTATCCTGACAATATGAATTGCAACTCCGAGAATCACAATGTTATCCTTAATATGACAATAAAAATTGCAACTCTGAGAACCACAATTCTTCTCCAGAGATTAACTAATCATCAAACACAATTACTTACATTACGGGAGATAAGAGTTCGAACAAATCGAACAGCAGCAACCACAAGGTATCTTTCCCTTCTTTGAGTCAGAAACAAAACTTTATCTATCACGTTATTGGAGAGAAAGTTGCACCTGCAAACAGAAAAGGAAATGCAAACTGTCAGAAACTACACGGATAGCAGCACCAGAACAAAATTGACTATCAAAAAATGCACATAAGATTACTTTATTCTATATGGGTCGTGCAAAATACAAAAGTTTAGCAGTTCACAAATGTTCAAAAGTATTTCAGGCTTTGCTTTGGCTTGAATCTCAGTGCATCTGCCAGAGCATGCAGATCTACTGACCGAGTGAGCAACACCATCTGAAGGACATGATGATGTTATAACATCAATTAATTGACCCAAGTGCTTCTCATAGAAAATCTCAATGATAGTATCTTTCTGCAACAAAAACCAAATAAATCAAACACTCAATATATACAAGAAACTCAAACAGAGCAGCAAGTTAAGACTAAATAATATGAAAATAATAATAATAATAATGTTACATGCAAACTTTAAAATAATTTTTCCAATTTATTCAACAGAAAATAAGTAAAAAAAGAATATCCATAATGATAGACATGCATAATAAACTCAAAACATGCTGCAGGCTCAAAATGCAAAAATATCATATAACATATCACTAAAAGCTTTTCGATGATCAACAAATAATGTGCCGCCTACAGCACCAATTAATTATATGTCAATGACAATGAAAGAAAGTGAGTCTCGGCATAAACATCAATGATCAAATCTATCAAAAGAGGGTGGGAAGTTGGGTGATTCGTCAAGGAGGGAAGTTGGGACCCGGTGATAGAGCGTTTCGATAGAAGGTTGGCTGGGTGGAAAACGCAATATCTTTCGAAGGAAGCGAAAGTTTCTTTGGTGAAGAGTACTAACATAGGGGAAACGATAAAGAACAGGGTTAAACCCTGGAATTCACAAAGAACACACTCACAAGAGAGAAACTGAAATTATATTGATGCTAATGATGTCTGCACTTACATCTCTTGCCTTTATATAGGCAAGTCAAAAATAAAATAAAAAAAGAAAGCATGTGTGAAATAATATTAAAGGGAAAATCTGAGATTTGATGGAGCAGATCCTCCTTAAATCTTGCAATGGAGAATAATATCTTCTATTGTTGGCAACTTCACCAAATCTTATTTATTTATTTTCTGAATCCTCCTTAATTCTTGGAATGGAGAATAATATCTTCTATTCTCCTTACCTTTTCAGCCTCCCCGATTTACGATGATTTTGTATGCTCAGATAATCGTGAGCGAGCTGTTCTACATCAATATCCCCTGCGTAAAAAGAACTAGTCCCTAAGTTACCCGAATCTGGCGGGTAATATTCATGTATGTCAGCCACATTGGAGGTAGAAGAAATGGCCATGTAAATCAATCGCATAGTTACATATTTTGCATCCTACATCAATAGTGCAGCTATCAAATGTAGACAATCACTTCAAAATCCTCATCCCTGTTTTTTCTCAGATGCTCGAGAACAATCAGAATTCATGCTCAAAAAGCCCATTCAGAGCAATGATGGTGGTTTAATTTCACCTAGTGAGGATGAGGTGATGATAGTGGTGAGAATGAGATGGCGCGCTGCAGGAAGATATGGTTACGGTTATGGTGGTGTTCTGGTAGTGGAGTTGGTTATGGAAGTGATCATGGACTAAGGGGGAGTTTGGGATGTGCCTGAGTTAGGAAACGCAATTCCATGTTTGCTAAACATCTGAGTCTTATTTGTCCAACAACTAGTGACGATGCAACATACTCAAGCAGATGACACATGAATCATCTAGACTCCTCATTTGTTGCACAATGCTTTGGTTGCCTTTAAGGAGATCCAACTGGTTCTAATACACTACTGCATGTATAAGTTGTCTTTGAATATATATTACATAACGGAATAATTTAACTTATAACTGTCTGGAATGTTCTGGAATGAAGTAGATCAAGTAGTACTTAGTGAATTAGTGTAACAATGTAATAATTTAACTTATAACTGTCTGGAATGTTCTGGAATGAAGTAGATCAAGTGGTACTTAGTGAATTAGTGTTAACAATGTAATAATTAAACTTAATTGTCTGGAATGTTCTTTTAATGAATTTTACTTATCAAAAAATAATAATTGTCTGGAATGTTCTGGAACGAAGTAGATCATGTGGTACTTGGTGAATTAGTGTAGAATATTTTGAATCTATGATAGTGTTTTGAAGAAATGTGTAAGTACAGATATTTGTTAAGGTTTTCTAGAATTGTTTGCTAAGAAGGTAACAAGGATTGAGTGTCATTTGCTCCCACAAAGCTCCCTAGTTGTAAAAATGTTTATAGAGAGTTAAAAATTACTTCTCCCCCACCAAAAAGTGTTGTGCCTAAGTGTTATGCCATTACAATATTTTTTTTTTGATAAGTAAAAATGTATTAGAAAGCGTTCAAAAGGGGAACGCGTCCCAAGAACTGTACAAAAACCGAAAAAAGATAAAGGGGGAGTCCTATGGACCCAAAGAACCCAAAAAGTCCACGATTTCATCTAAAGATATACAATTTCTCCCCATAACCCAACTAAAAAGAGAACAAATAATAGAAAACTTCAACGCCCCAATGGAGAATTCCTCCCCATCAAAAGATCTTCTATTCCGCTCTTTCCAAAGGCTCCACCAAACACAAAGAGGGGTCACCCTCCAATAATCGCGAGCAAGAGCCCCCACCCTTTGGCCCCTCCAAATGTCAATCAAATCGCTTGAGGTCTGGGGCATAACCCACTGGATGCCAAAAAGACCCAAAATAAGACTCCAGCAGTCAAGAGCCAAGGGGCAATGCAAAAGAAGGTGATCCACAGACTCTCCATCATTCTTGCACAGACACCAACGGTTGACTATGATTTGTCTTCTCTTTCTCAAATTATCCAGAGTCAAAATCCTACCCCAAGCTATAGTCTAAACAAAAAAGGCCCCCTAAGAGGAGCCTCCAAATGCCAAACCGTTTTCCACGGGAATTGGTACCATGAAACCCGGAGAGGCAGAGAAAGAAGGACCAGACTTGAAAAGTCCCCTGCGAAGAAGGCACCCGAGTCAAAGAAATTGAACCAGTACCATCCACCTCCTGTCTATACAAAAGGTCCAGCAAGCCAGTGACGTCATCCAACTCCCAATCCTGAAAGGATCGACAAAACCACACATCCCAAGACAACCTACCGCTATCGAGTCGATAGCAGACAACAACCAAAGCATGTCTATCAACAGCAATCCTGAACAACCTTCCTGCTGCACGGGTTTGGCTAGAAAAATGTAAAATTTTAGGCCCATGACATACAACTATCATCCACCACCGTACGTATATCACATTCAATCATACAAATGATAAGGATGCGGTTATGGACATGCTTACTCTCCCCAAGTGTAGTTTTACCTAGGTCATCCCAACAATTACCTCCAAAAAGACATAGCTATGAAGAAGCATATGACCCACCCAATTTGTGAAGTGGGAGTAAGTTCGTAGGCCTATCCAACAATGCAGGTTGGGCATTCAGAGGCTAAATATGTTCAGCAGGGCCTTGTTGGGGAAGTGGTTGTGGAGGTTTCGAGTGGATAGACCCAAGTTGTGGAGAAGGGTCATCGTCAGCAAGTTTGGGAGGACAGTGGTGGGTGGTGGTCTTTAGCTTCTAGGCAGCAAGTTGGGGTGGGTTATTCGAAGGCCATCCGGAAAGGATGGAATGAATTCTCCAAACACATCCAATTTAGGGTGAGGAGTGGGAGAGGGATCAGTTTCTAGATAGATACGTGGTGTGGGGACTGTTAGAGAGCGTCCACCTATTCGTGTCTCTATCAGATTGTTGTGGACAAGGTGTTGGTGGCCAACTACTATTACCTTGATACTTGTAGGTTGTTTTGGGATGTTAAGTTTCCGAGATCCTTCCAGGACTTGGAGCTAGGAAACATTGGTGAGTTTTTGGCCATGTTGTACTGGCAGAAGGTGGGGGATAGGGCCTCATGTTTGGTGTTGAATGGAGTCTAGTCATGGGATTTTTAAGGTTTGTTCTTTCCATAGGAGTATAATGGATGTTCCCTGTTAGGACCCATCCCACATTGTGTAGATATTGTCCGCTTTGCACTCTTTGTATTCATGATTTTCAAAACACGTCTACATAGGTGGGAGGCAATCCCCATTCCCCCATATAAGTCTCAACAACTTCTCTAGCCAGGCGATATGGGACATCACAATCACCCCCACTACAAGAGACTGCTAAACAAGGTCCACGACGTGCAAGCATACAACGGGTCAAAAAATGGGGCCAGCGGGTCGAAAGCAGAACCATAACAATAATAATTTTGATTATTTATCATTTCATCATATATTTTTATTTTTTATTTAATCATCCAACTACCAGTACCAAATTGAATTGAACCCACTGATCACATGACAAAAATAAATAATAAAAACTTTGAAATCCACAAAGGTACACAATTCCAAAAACAAATAAGACAATAAACAATGTTAAACACAAGTTGGGACTATAATCCATCAAGCTGAGAGATGAAGCTGACAAAATGTCCAATTCAAAATCAGGCTACGCTAATAAGCCAGATGATTGCCTCAAACTCAATGAAGGGCAAGCAAACCTCACAACTGAATTTCAGATTGCCACAAGCTTTACAGTCTACTTGCCAGCATAGTTAATATATGAAAAAACTTTGTCCATACAACGATGATGGCATATACCCAGGTACTCGCCTAATAGCAATGTCATGAAACAATAAAAGATAGTTTGAAATTTATTTCGGAATTCCGTTTGCAAATGGACAAAAGTTACTCAAAGAACAAAAACATGAGAAATTGAATTATAAAGACACCTGTGATCCTGATGCAGCAGACGGATCCAAAAGGTTGCGAAGAATTTCAAGAAATTGGCAATGCATGTCATCCCCAAAATCTGTTGTCATTCCTTTAACCTGGATATAGACAACCACAAAATTAATTCTTTTAGCCAAGTGAGAGAATTGGACAAGACGATTGCAAAAACTAAAAAAAATAACAAACAAAACAAGCACAAATAAACATACATATACGACTTTAAAATAAGACAACTCGCAAATAGAAATGATAGAATAGAAGCAAATTCATATGTAACAAAAAAGGCCATTAGACAGTGTTGGTTGGAAAAACTCTGCTATGGTGATGATATTGAAGGGAAGATCCTGCCAAAAAATAGCTGGACACGGATACTATAAATCTTAATTCCTCTTATTCATACTACTACTTCAAAATGAATAATAAATGAAAATGTAACTTTATTTAAAACCCTAATAATAATATCCTTTCTCTCCCACTTCACAACTTGGAATGCACCACTTTTATAAAAAGATGACTGCTCTCACTTCCTTAATTGAGGATGCAAGGAGGGACACGCGCGGAGCTTCACATGGGCCAGGGGGCTGTGAACCCCCAAAATTTTTCAAAACTGCTACATATGCAAAATCCAGACTTGCCTCCCCCCAGCACACAAAATAAAATAGAACTTCTATTGAACCTTAGTTGGCTTAAATTTCTCAAGCCCGATAGGGATTATATGTTATTACATATACATGTATATACAATACACAGATATAATATTGTAGTATTATGTACAATTTTATGGATCCACTTCCGATCCATAGTTCTGACATGAACTGAAAGAACTTGTTTTCACCAGATATAATATTATAGTATTAATATATATTATCTGGGTTGCCTAAATAATCGAAATTATTGAATTCGTATAAATGATTGTTTTTGGTTGCCTAATCAAATGATATGTCTGTGAAGAGATTATGTATGTCATATTAACGAATTTAAGGAAGGCCTTTCTACAAAATAATATTGGCACTTATGTAATGTAATTTTTTTATTGTTCTCCTTCAAGAAAATGCATTTAAGTTAGATCAAGAATTTAATGTGATAGTGTCCAAGTAAGGATCAAAGGATGAAAATGGAGAAAAAGATGGTAGAACGTGTATATCAAGAATTTACTAGTACAAAGCACTAGGATAAACATAGTTATAACCGAGGAGATATGAGGAAGATCAAAGGTGAGAGAGAGATAGAGAAATAGTTTAAAATAAGCTAAATTTAAACCGTATGTAAAACAAAATTAAGCGTAGCTAGTAAATAAGAAATTTTAAATGTTGAGTTCTTGAAACCTTTTTTTTTTTTCAACTTCTCGGCCTGAAATAAAATATGAGCTAACTAAATATTTAAAAAAAATCAAGTTTTAGGGTCTAAAGTAAAGTAAAAGGAAAATTTTTGACCCGGTTTTTTTGCTTGTGGGTTGCGGACCCTATTTAGTACTCTCTTGTAGCCCGATATATAAGGGCACTTAGGGTTTGGAGTGGAATTATTTTGTAACACTGAAAATCAGAGAGAGAGAATGAGAGCAAGAGCTAGGGTTTGGAGGCTGAAAATTGTACTCTCCTATTTTTCGCATAGCGAAAACTTTTGTCCGATCTCCACCGTGGATGTAGGCTTTGCCGAACTACGCTAAATCTTTGTGTTCTTTGTGTGTGGAGTGATTACTTTTCTGCCCTGTTTTTTTATTTGTTCTTGAGTTCGCTGCGTTTGTCGTAAAAAAGGATTTCTCGAATCGCCCATTGGATTGAAAGTCCTGGAAAGTTCCCATCACCTCATCCTAACCACACCCCAGCTTTCCAAAAGGAACCTCAAAGTGAAACCGTCTGGACCTGGAACTTTGTCTCCATTACAGCTCTTCAACGCTATCAGCACTTCCTCTTCAAAGAAAGGCCTCTCCAACCCCTCCCAGTCCAACTCAGATATCAAGTCAAAATGCAAACCTCCAAGACGAGACCTCCAACTGAAAGTCTCAGTTTACAGTCTCTGGTAATACAAAGCAATCCCCCTATGGACCTCCTCCTCTCTACATAGCTGAACACCATCAACATGAATCCGCGTAATATGGTTGCCCACTCCTATGGGCGTTGTCAAGCCTGTGGAAGAATCTCGTATTACGATCCCCCTCGTTCAGCCACAACGCCCGTGACTTTTGACGCCATGAAATCTCCTCAACCTCCGCCTGACACACTGCTCTATGCACCCCCTCTATACTGCCCATCCCCTCCAACGGATCAATCTCTGAAAGAACCATATTCTTCCTCCATTCCAGTTTCCCAAAAACCTCCTTGTTTTGGCTGAAATAAGGGTAGCAAACCCTACACAAACTTCCAAGCAACCACTTGATCAATCAATCAGTTTCCTTTCTTTCTTTCTTTCTTTTTTACCGTTCCTTCTGTTTTCCGTTTTACCTCTTTTCTTTTAGGTTACGTATAGTAACGAGAAACGTTTCTTGTTTTCTATTGTCAACCCCTAAAAAAGCAAAACGAAAACAAAAATCGCGTTCAATACTATGTTTTTATTTTTCTATAACAGAAAACATTTTCAATTTTTGTGAAGAAAAGAGGAAACATAAAAAAGATGTTTCTTATGTTTTCGGCACTGTAGTGTAGAAACGTTTTCACTATTGCTATTACACAGGTACTATTCATTTCAAATAAAATTCATATTATTTGTGTTATATAATAAGCTGCATATTAAATGTTAATAGAAATATATATTTTTAATATAGAATATATTAAATAGTGTACATTATTTTTTATTTGATAAAAATATATTTTAATATATAATACATTAAATAATAATGTAAATTATTTTTTGTGACAAAATAATTTTTGAAATAGAATATAATGTTATTAAATTATTATGTAGTAGATATTTTATATTATTATAAATCACATCTATATTATATTATATGTAAATATTAAATTATAATTAATTTACAATATTATAACACAGTATATATATTTTATTACATATAAGATATATTATTTAACATTTTTTATTCATAATAAATTATCATACGCTAAATATATTATATATCACATAATAAATGCATGCATCATGCATATACATGTATTTATATACATAATTGCTAGGAGTGTTTTTGTCTTGGTATATCTAATTTTGTCCGTATGATGTATTGGGTATTATTAAGATTTGTAATTTTAAATTGAATTTGTAGATTTATGGCTTTTTGATACTAATGGAAGCAATTGTCGTGTCTGAGTGGTTGGATTGCTCCCCGTGTCCAAAAGTCCGTGTTCAAGTCATCCACCCTCCCCCTCCCCCTCCCCCTCCCCTCTAATCACTAACCCCTAAAATTCTTTCTATGAAAAAAATAAAATTCAAATGAAAAGACTGAAAAATAAAATAAAAAATTTAAAGAATGTTATGTACATTTTGTAACAAATATGTATTACTAAACACTGTTATTGTTTTATGTTATCAAATTTGTGGCAAAGTGTTAATAAACATCATTTTTTTTTTTTTGGATCAGTAAAAATGTATTAGAAAGTGTTCAAGAGGGGAACGCATCCCAAGGGCTGTACAATAACCGAAAAAAGAGAAAGGGGGAGTCCTATGGACCCAAAGAACCCAAAAATTCCTATACACATCATTTTTGCTTTCTATTTTCACTCAAGAATGCAAAATCATGTTTCTACTTTCTTAAAACTGCAAATCAGAAAACGAAAACGTTACTAAACGCACCCTTATTTAGATTACAAGATCACCATCCCCCTAAAAACAAAAAAAGTAAATATATATATATATATTGGAAATGAATCCATGAAAGTCATAAAGTTCAGCAAGGCATCTCACCATCTGTTTCAAACGCAATTGATTTAATATATTACACATATTTCCTTCAATTTCAAAATATATACATGGTGATACGTCATATCTGTTTTCTTTCTTATGGCTACTGATGTACACACACGCACAAGGCTCATTTGTCATAGTTTAGGTAATGGACATATGCCCGCCATTTTCAAGACCAAGGCATGTATAATAAAATCGACAAAAAAATTAAATAAATCAATCAATGGTTGCACACCAGAAGTCCAAGAAGGGAAATCCCCTCCTGACGAGTGACAAAAGAACACAGAAGAACTGGATCCTGATTTAGGAAAAGAATAAGAATTTCTGTCCTGCATCCATCAGACAACTTATCATTAGGATTATATCACCATTCATCGGAAAAGGAACTGATAGAATGAACAAAAAGGACAAACTATACACCGAAATAAGATATCATTTGAGTCCTTACCCAGTTAATACAATCTTTTTATCTTCACACTGCAAAATATCAGTGATGACGTCAATTATACCTTCATTTACGAGATCCCTACAGGCATTAGAAATTTCAAATTGTATTATTGTTGTTGTTGTTGTTTTATTATAATTATTATAATACATGAGAGAACAAATATATAGATAATTATAGATCTTCACCAAATGAAAATTGCCTATCTCAAAGATTACACACAAACACGGGTAAAAGTCCAAATTCAATACAAGAAATATAGTAGGAAAACAAAAGTTGAAACTTATGATAGGCATACCTAAATAGCCGGAGTTGCTGAACCATCTGCAAGCTTTTGCTAAGACTAATAAACTCTTGCAAGAAAAACACCTGTATTCATGAAAAAGGTAGCAGGTTCAATTCATGAGGAAGCAAATCATGAAAAATTAACCCTCCCACCGAATGCAAGGATGTTTGTGTGGGTAGGTGGGTGTAGAGAGGGAGGGGGTTCATATCCATCAGCCACAGACAGATATGGCAGATATGGCAGATATGCATTGACAGGGACTGACACAGCAGACCAATGAAAGCAATTAAAATAAATAAGAATAGCAATGTATTCTTTAAACTCTCGAATCCACGAGAAGAGGTTGAGAGAAACTCTCGATTTCCTGATATTGAAAAAAGTAATAACTGATCCCTAAACTATTACAATAGCATGTATTTATAGGCCTAAGCAAATCCTAAATTATAGAGGAAATTAAATCAATGAAAACTTTCCTATAACAAACACAAAACTATTTAACGAAAACTTTCCTAAAACAGACACTAACTATTAGGAAATTAAAACAATGAAAACTTTCCTAAAAAAGAAAATAGAAACTATAAAACACTATTCACACCACTGTTCATGCACTGTTCCCATGTACTACATGCTCCCCTTCTTTAAAAGAACTCGCCCTCGAGTTCAATAAGTGGTCCTCTTTGTATTTCGCTGACGGTTCATCGTATATAAGTATGAACAAAATTTTGTACCACTGACGACTTGACCTTAGTGCTTCATAAACTTGCTTCTTAGTTGACCAATCCCAAAAGAACATCAAGTGTGACAAATCAAATTTCCTTGGCAACTCAAAAAAAAAAGAAATTGTCTTGATCATACGTGCAGAAATTCGACCACATCATTACAGGAACCTTCCCATTGAAGACTTCAGTAAAGTTTTGCGTGTCAGCTACTATCCAATGCCAACATCCTCTTCTTTGTATGCTATACATCTAATTCTTTATCCCTTTTGTCCAAGGACTCCATCTTTGAAGCTTTATTATTGGAAGTCCATTGAAGTGCATAAAGTAAGGACAATTTCATCATCCTCAACTACAAGAGGTGGAGCAACACAATTTTGCTTTTGATCAATCTCAATAATATCACTTGTTGCTTTAACAAAATTATTTTGACCTTCCTTGATGTCACAATCCTTTTCTTTTCTTTTTTATAAGTAAAAAAATCAATAGAAAGAGTTCAAAAGGGAACGCGTCCCACTTACAATAACAAAACAAAAACCTATGGACCCAATGAGTCCAAGAAACCACCAACATTGTCAGAAGAAGAACAATGTCTCCCCTTCGCCCAACTAAAAATGGATCGAATAATATGAGGTTTCAAAGTTGGCATAGAACCTCCATTCCTTCAAAACATTTGTTGTTCCTCTCTCTCCATATGCACCACCAGACACAATGTGGAATGATTCTCCAACACTCACGAGCATGACCCCACACATGACATCCCCTCCATGCTTCAATCATGCCCCTTGTGGACCGGGGCATCACCCAAGAAATGCCGAACAATCCGAAAATAAAATTCCAGCAATCATGTACCACAGGGCAGTGTAAGAGTAGGTGATCCGTAGACTCACCATCGTTTTTGCATAGGCAACACCAATTGACAATAATAACGCCTCGCTTCCTCAGGTTATCCAAAGTCAAAATCTTACCCCACACGGCAGTCCACACAAAGAATGCCACCCTAAGTGGAGCCTTAGAACGCCAAATAGTCTTCCAAGGGAAAACGAAACTAGCAAAGTTGGAAAGACACATAAACATAGATCGAACCTCAAAACCTCCATAGGAAGAGGGAACCCACAACAAAACATCATCACCGATGCCACCAACCACCTGTTGATACAACATATCCAGAAAAGCACAAGCCTCGTCCATCTTCCAGTCCTGAAAAGAACGCCTAAAATGCACATCCCACGTAATCCCACTGCTATCAAGCCGATAGCAATCAACTACAAAGGCATGTCTATCACTAGCGATTTTAAAAAGTCTCGGAAAAGAGCAAGACAACGGCTGGTCTCCGCACCATAAATCCTCCCAAAACCGAACACATCTACCATCTCGAGCTTTGAATCTACTCCCTCCATCCCAAAATAGTTGGGTAATTTGGAAACTGTGACTCACAACTTTGCGAGTCACAGTTCCCAAAGTACCCAACTATTTTGGGACAGAGGGAGTAATATGAGAAGAGAACACATCCCATCCTTTCCGAATAAATTTTCACACGCCAACTCCTCCTGCGTTAGGGACTGGGCATGAAAACCACCCACCTCTCTCTTCCCCATACGTACATGAAAAAATCCTCCTCCACGGGAGGTGTCTTTCTCTACCAAATCTCCACAACCACTTGCCTAGGAGGGCTCTATTAAAGGGGATCAACCTCCTAATGCCCAGACCAACCAACTTAACAGGCTTGCAAATATGCTCCCACTTGACAAGATGGTACTTGAACTCTTCTCCCCTACCACCCCACAAGAAATCCCTTTGAATTTTTTCGATTCTTTCTGCAACAAAACACGGAATCTGGAACATAGATAGGAAATAAGTGGGAAGGTTTGAGAGAGTGCTCTTAATAAGAGTGACCTTCACCCCCCCGCCGCGAGGCGACAAATATTGCTTCTTCCACCCAACCAATCTCTTCTCAAACCTAGCAATCACAAGATCCCACGTCCCCACCCTTCTAGAGGAACCCCCAAGGGCAAACCCAAATAATGAATAGGGAAAGAGCTCACCCCACACCTAAGAACTGCGGCTAAGGAGGAAATGCCCTGAACTTCCCCAACCAGCACAAACACGCTCTTGCCAAAATTAACTTTCAACCCAGAAACTACCTGAAAATAGACAAGAATACACCTCAGATACCTCAATTGGGCCGCTTCATCATCACAAAAAACCAAAGTGTCATCTGCGAACAACAAGTGAGATATCTCCATCTAATGAGTTAAATCTCTACCCACTCTGAAGCCTTTAATAAAACCCAAATCCTCTGCCCTCTTCATTAGCCTACTCAACCCCTCTATGACAATAAGAAAGAGAAAAGACGACAAAGGATCACCTTGTCTCAACCCCCGATAAATTAAAAAGTAACCATCAGGAGACCCATTAACAAGTACAGAGAACTTGACAGTCGAAATACATGTCTCTATCCAAGTCCTCCATCTACTTCCAAAGCCCATTCTATGAAGCAGATATAACAAGAAACTCCAATTAACGTGGTCATAGGCTTTTTCAACGTTGAGCTTGCATAAAACTACCGGTACACCACTCCTCAGCCTAGAGTCCACGCATTCATCGGCGATAACGGAATCTAAGATCTGTCTTCCCCCAACAAAGGCGTTTTGGGAGTCCGAAATAACCCCATCCATGACAACCCTCAACCTGATAGCAAGAACCTTAGCAATGAACTTATAGATGCAACCCACCAAGCTAATGGACCTAAAGTCCTTAATATCAATAGCGCCACCCTTCTTAGGAATAAGGGCAATAAAAGAAGCATTTAACGACTTCTCAAACACCCCGTGAGAATGAAACTCCTGAAAGGTACCCATAACCTCCCTTCTAACCACCTCCCAGATTTCCATCAAAAAGCGCATAGTAAACCCGTCAGGCCCCGGTGCTTTGTCACCATTACAACTCGACAGAGCCTTCACCACCTCCTCTTCGGTAAATGGGGCCTCGAGACCATCTCTCTGAATCTCGGAAATAACATCAAAATGAAGACCATAAGGCTTAGGCCTCCACCCCAAGCACTCAGTGTAGAGCCTCTTATAGATTGAAACAATCCCCTTATGGACCTCATCCTCCCTACACAGCTCCTGACCATCAACCCGGATTCGCCCAATATGATTACTCCTTCTATGGCCATTTGCAAGCCTGTGGAAAATTTTCGTATTGCGATCCCCCTCTTTAAGCCATAAGGCCCTGGACTTCTAACGTCATGAAATCTCTTCCATTTAAGCAATCTCAGCGAAATCCGCCTAGCAAGCTGCTCTCCCAGAACGTAGAGAGTCACCCTCCCCACCCACCTCATCAAGGCGGTCAATTTCAGAAATTTCAGCAAGGACTCTGTTTTTCTTCCATTCAAGATTCCCAAACACCTCCTTATTTCCACCTTTTCAGTTCGGTTTTAAGGGCCCATAGTTTCCGGGCTAACACAAAACTGCTGGACCCAATGGCAGTGGCCTCCTCCCACCAGAACCAAACAAACCCTTGGAAATTCTCCACCCGCAGCCACAGTCTCAAATCGAAATAGGGAACACCTAGAGTTCAAACCCCCACAATTTAGAACCAGCGGAGTATAATCTAAAGTAACCTTAACTAAAGCCGCCTGAACGACATCCAGAAATTTCTCTTCCCACTCCCCAGAAATCAAGAACCTATCCAGCCTTGAGAGAGTAGCAGACTCCTTTCCACTGGACCAGGTAAATGTTGCCCTTTCCAAAGGCAAATCAATGAGAAAGTAACCATCAACAAACTCCGAAAATTGAAGCATCTCCGAAGACCACCTTCCCCCTGTAGACCTCTCTAACGGAGACCTAACAAAATTAAAGTCCCCACCCAGGCACCAAGGAAGAGACCACGGTCCCTGAACGTGGCTTAGCTCCTCCCAAAGGAAAGACCTCTCACTGTCATCAACCGGTCCATAGACCCCAGAAAAAACCCATCTGAAATTGTCCTCCTCCATCTTGAACACGCAGGAAATAGAAAACCTCCCCCTCTAAGTGTTCATCCTTGACAGCCATAGTTGATCGTACATGACTAGAATACCACCAGAAACCTACCTCCCCATAGACTTCTGACCACCCCATCTGTCATCGATGCCATCTTAGTCTCTTGCAAACAGACAATGTGGGCTCCCCACTTTCTCAAAGCAGCCTTCACCACCCTCCTTTTGCCCGGGTCGTTGAGACCTTGAACATTCCAAGAAATAATTCGTAGCTTCATTAGGAAACAGATAAGATCATCTCCCCTCCGCCCTTCCTCCCACTCTCCTTCACCACCCCTTCCTTCCCTTCGTAGTTTACATATGAAATAAGATTCTTGACCTCCTGCTC